AACTGCGCGAACTGTGACAAGGACGCGCGACGTTTCATTCTTTTCGTTTCTGTACTCTTATAAAAACTTCTTTTAAAAGAATGATCTTGAACAGTACTATACATAACAGCACAAAGTATGAAAAAAAATAGATTATTCTCTCATTTGAATGATCGATTTGATTTTTTTATATACAAAATATAAAAAGTTATTTTCCTAAGTAATAAGATTGCATTGAATGAAATAATAAGAAGAGATTTTATTACCATCTTTTTGCTAACATTGAATTTAATTAATATCAAGTTCGCGGCTGACATAGTCTGTATTTATCGTTATATGTGTACATATATATATATATATATATCAAATAACAAAACAATCATATTTTTATCAGGTTTTTATGTTACTAAACACTTGAAGAAATTTATGCAACAAGTCAGCGATGAAGCTAATATACTATATACGTCATATAATCCAAGTTAAAATCTATGCCGACAGAAAACAATTTATAAAGGTATTTTCTAAATTGAATACTACATAATTTTACAGATATTTACCGATTTCTGTGTATATTACGATTAATTAAATATTGTAATTCATTTGGTATTTAATTTATATTAATTATATCTTTGATGTGTGTATTTGATCAGACATATGTAGATTCATTATCTTTAATCCATGTGTGGGAATCTATCTGTTCAGCAGAATCAACTTCGAGTAACACACCAAAAATTTCTAATAATATCAAAATCAGTAAATTAATACTTATAAAATATTCATATTGAATATACTATTTTAATTTGATATCAATTAAACAATATCAATAAAAACTTTGGTGGAGAGAGAATTTTTTGTCGGAGATTTTAATGTAATCCTCCAAATTAATTCTGCAAATTTTATTTTGCTTAATGATTTAGTTATTTTTTATATTAAATATCTATTCTTAAAACTTGAAATATTTTGTTAAAATATTTGTTTTAAATTATTAATATAAAAATAATTATTATAGATGTTGATTTTATTAGAATATAATATCTAAACTAAAGAAATTAATGTACGTATTAAACTATAAAGGTTAATTAATCTTCACAAAATAGGCGACGGATATTCGCGTGAATCTTTTTATTTCCATAAATGATAGGAAATTGTTTATGACGACTCACTATTATTCTCCCGGATAATTTATTAAAAAGCTGATAATTGCATTGGCTAATGAGCTGTTTGCGCGAAACATCTGGAAGCGTGTCACTATCAAATCGAAATTAACGCGATGCCCAGTGAAGTGGTCGATAATGATAATGAGCTTTGAAAAACCTCGCAATGAAGAACTGATGGACCGGCAATGATGATATTTTTATATCCGTCCGTGTGAGAGACGAATGTCAAAAGTACGATAGGCTTGCAATCCCACATGCCGCGATAATGCAATCTTTATATATAAACAAACATTTTGTTTCTATTCCCGCGTAGGAAAAATATTGTTCTAATCAAGATATCAATTTCTGAATCTTTTTTTCTTCCATAAATTGAGGAGAATCTGAATTATATGGTCATTAACTTGTGTGTATCTATTTGCATATTTTATTAATTATTAACGATATTTATTGCTGTCCAAAAATTTTAACGGGAGTTTTAATAATCCTGAGTAGATACAAAAAATGTTAGAATTAATTTGCTTTTCGAAATCCCCATTTAATTTTAATTTATTAATATCGATCGCATTATATAATATTAATTATAATATATATATGTTGATATATATTTATATTAATATATTCATAACATATCCATATGTTTATATTAATAATACTATAAAACCTTAAAGAGCTAAAAAAAATTTAAATTTGAGAAAAAGATATAAATTTAGCTTTGCTCAGCTTTTCTGAGTTTATAATACTTGTTGATCTTTCTTCTCATCAGACATTTTACGTGCTAGAATAACATTATCTGACGAAGTCACAGGGCAGCTGCCATCCATAATAAACATTCGTATGGAAGCTAAAATTCTTCCAATCGCGAGATCAAAGGTTATCGAAATTTTTTGTTTTTTTTTTATACAAAGACAGGTTTATTTAATAATAACTGATAACGTTAAAAACATAACAGCCAGACGACGTCTTTTTGGAACATAATTTTTTCCTTTGTGAATTCATTATATATCATAAATAATGAAAATGCACATGTATGTTGAGTGATAATTGATATGTAATAATACCATTCGAGAAATGTCGTATTATTCTTATTACGTTTGTAACATAAAATCCATTGTACTAATTTAGTGATTTATTATTCTTGTATCAGAAAAAGACTAAATAAACAAATGGCGACTGTATTTATATATTTTGCGATAACGTCTAACTTCGCCGTTCTTTTGACGTCATTCGGATATTCTTCAAACATTCAATACTCAGTTAAAATATGTAACGTATGTAGTATCTTTCCCGCAATTTATCTTGAAGTCTATTACAAAATGAATGAAGCCCAAACTTCATTACAGCAAGAAAGAAAGTTAAATTAATTTTAGAAATTTTTTTATAAATGACGTACATCTCTACACAGTATGTGTAACAGATTTTTCAAATGTAAAAGAATGCAAGAATACATATATCCAAATCTCTCCCACTTAACGTACGCTTTGTGTGTCATTCGCACTGTAAACATGATATAATCATTAATGTTTTATTTCCCTCGCTCGCGTCTCCAATCTGTATTAAGCAATATTATATACAACAGTTGTCAGAGGCACATTTTGTTGTCACGTATAGCGATCTACAATCAGTACTAAAAATTATCAAATTATGTCAATTTCATAAGAACTGTACACGTATAAAGTCGCAACGACACGTTTCGTGTTCAGGCGTATGTGAATTATTATCGCTCCCAGGTGTATACTTTATACCGCACCGTCAATCGTTTTATTATTCGAATCAATCGATGGATCTCTCCAATAATTTAGCACGCGATAACACATCATGTTGCACATGACATTTAATGATGCGTAGCGTTACCCATGATCCAGCAATCTGCATTTCTACTCTACGAGACGTAATATTTCTCACGATTTTGATGAATAACAGTATTCATTCAGTACATTCAGTAATTTTTATTACATTCTTGAAGATTTTTTACTCGATTAATCGTTTTGTTATATCATATCATCCTTAATTTTTCTCTATTAATAAAAGTTAGCGAAAAGACCGTTATAGTATTGTAATTATATTATATAAATGTAATTACATTTTTTTATATAATTAAAAAATCTCTTATCTAGATGAGGCATTGGAATAAAATGGAAAAATAATTAAATTCATCATGAAAACATTAATATTTATTTTACTATTAAATAATTTTTATTTTTATATTTAGTTTTAGTATTTTTTTATCAAATAAATATTCACTAGGTATTTTATATATGTATATATAACTCCATGATGGCTATTTAACTTCGATTTTTTTAATTTTTAATCTTATTAATTCATTGAACTGTCTCGTTTGTTTCAAGCATCAATTATTCTACTTAAATCTATTATAATTTCCGTCTACTTGACCGTCAGTATTCTGCTCATCATTTATGCACCGACTTTCGGGTTCATCGCGATACAGTCGATGCGGCACCCAATCGCTTCGATACGATTTTATTCCAAGGCCATCCATTTATAGTAGCTTCTACAGTTCGGGTTCTATCATCGGGGGTTCTCTGTATGGATATGCACCGCGTGGCATTTGCATTCTCTCGCGCACGTATTGCATTATCATGCGTGGTGCGAAGCTAAGCGACTCCTGTGATTATGGGCGACGAACAAAAGTAATTTAATATCGGCACACATTTCATGGTGGCCTCCCACGTTAATAATTATCCGACAATTGACTTGAATAAACGCAACACCCACTGCGGTTACGTGAGATCGTACTAACAGAGTACAACACGACACTTGGATGTGGTAGTGCCCTATAAATGTGCTTAGATTTAGTTAATCCGAGGAGGTCAGAAGTTAAAAGGACGTTAAAACATTTCTTTATCAACACATTTTTATATTCAAATTTCATGAGAAAAACAGAAAATTCCGCGTACTTTGAAGCTATTTAGGATTTTGAGTCAGGCGGTATAAAATTGAAATATTTGTTGAACATAATTCTAGATTTATTAGAATAATAAATTTATTAGCATAACTTATTATTCGTAGAATATCTATTAAAGTTGTATACGTTAATTCACATGAAATTATATATATTAATTAAGAAGAAGCGTCAACTATGGTCAAAGTTAGATGTTAGATTAATAATATTTTTCGCTACTATAGTGTTCTCCAAATCTATGATCAAGTTTAATTTGATCATAGATTTGGAGATTATTACTTCAGTTTAATTATACTGCAAGCCCAAAAGAATGAGCGCGCAGTTATACATATTTGAAATATAAATATACGTATTTAAGATAAATCACATATAAAATTATTATTCCAAATCGTCTAACTTTCATCGTTATAGTTGCTTCTTCTTACTTGATTTTTATTCATGTGGCGATCTTGTTTTTAACTTATTATATACATATATTAATTTTATGTATCTATAATAAGATACAATAATTGTCATTTATATTTGCTAAAAAAGCATGTTACATTTGTTTTAATATTATAACTAATCATTACTTCAATATCTTGCCTGACTCTGATCCAATATCTGTTTGATTTCTACAATACTCTAAAATTTTTTATTCAGCATATATTCAGAGTAGACATCATATGCATGTTGCAAGATAGTTTCTATGTTTAATAGGCATTAGGAGAATATTTCATTCCACATATGTTAAACATTGATGAGCGTGCCGTTCATATGTACTAATAGAGCATCATTTAGAACACTATTCACATCCATTTGTGTCACAGTTATCTTTTCATGGAATCGTCATTAGTAGAGACGACTTTACTTCTTACCTCCTCGATTAGAATTCGCGATATACGTATCATTGTCGAACTATACGCTTGAAAAATACGTTAAATGATGCATTGTCTCGTTTACAGGTACTGTCTATGAGCGAGGAGTTCAGGCGAGCTCTTTACGCAAACAGTGCCATTTCTCTGGACAATGACGTCATCGTGCCCGATCTCATCGGCACAACGGAAATACTCAGCGATGAACACAGGGAACAGCTCTGTCGTCATCTGCCCGCGAGAGCGGAGGGCTACCAATGGACTCTCGTCTTCAGCACTAGTCAGCATGGCTTCAGCCTCAATAGCATGTATCGAAAAATGGCTAAGGTCGAGAGTCCAATCCTGTTAGTCATTGAAGACACGGAGGGAAACGTAAGTTTCCTGTTCCTTAATTTAAATTGTAGAAATTATTGGTTTTAATTTGATTAGTTTTAATTTGATCTAAGAATGCAACTCTTGAAAATGAATACAATCGTAACTACAAACATTTTTCTTAATATTGTATTATGTATCAAATTATACACAAATAATAAATCTAAGCACCTATCTACACGTGACATATATCAGGAAAGCAGCTTTTTAATAAATATACAAGTATTAAAAATATATATTCATTTAATAGAAAAACGTGCATTGTTGAACTAATTTCTCAAATGTATATATTATCAGAAAGATAAATTAATTATAAGTGGAAAACAATTCAATCTAGTAAAATGTCGAGGTCAATTGACCTAATTAATTTGAAGTAGAAAGTTCTATGATTATTATAATTAGTCTGAACGAAAGATTAATATGGATTTTCATAAAGTTATATTCGCGTGTTGGCTTACTTCGTAAATGTCCTATATCCGTTCAAATTGGCTTATGCTCTCTTCCATTCGGATTGTTTATTCGAAGCGCGAAATATAAACGTAAAATAATCTTTCTCGGTTTTACTATGTGTATATTTCGCAGCCTTCATGAATCACTTCTTTCTGTCACAGGTGTTTGGTGCACTGACCTCATGCTCGCTACACGTGAGCGATCACTTTTACGGTACCGGCGAATCCCTGCTCTTCAGGTTTACGCCGAGGTTCCAATGTTTCAACTGGACCGGGGATAACCTGTATTTCATCAAGGGCAATAACGAAAGCTTAGCAATCGGTGCTGGAGAGTAAGTTATCTCATTTTTTCTCAAAAGCTGTTCCTTTGCTGTTGAACAAGACTTTACGAAATTGATCTTGTTTTCAGCGGCAAGTTTGGGCTCTGGTTAGACGGTGATCTGTATCAGGGCAGGACACAATCCTGCAGTACATACGGCAACGAGCCGTTGGCGCCACGCGAAGATTTCGTCGTTAAAACATTGGAATGTTGGGCGTTCATATAGGACACGGCCTCATATTCCCAGCCCGTTACTCCTTCGCCATCGCCACAGCCTAATTTAACCTGAACTTGTGAACCTTACGAAGATTTCGTCTCCAAGAGAGATTAGAGGAAAACTAACTATTCTAAGGACATTGTCGGAAGAGTTGAGTCGGATCAATGGTGTCACAACACCGATTAATTCTATCACCATTTGGGGAAATCTCGCCCAGTGATAAACATGATGGTTCTCCGAGGAGAAAAAAACGTTGTCAATGTCCGCACGAGAAGAGACAACGAGAGCATTGCCTGAAGATGGTGAAATCGACGAGAAGCAGCCTTGAAAGGGATGCGGACGGTAAAAAGAGACTGTCATGGCCCGAAGTTATGCGATCATAGCGCGTGCCTATTTACATATCGCGTAACTACTGAGTATCGTTAATTGCCCCTGACTCCCCAGTCTTTTTTAAGTTGGCGTATTTATTTTATTTTTTTATATTCTGTTGAATGAGATTGTCGCTCGTCAATTTGATTTGTGGTTATTGTAAGTTGACCGAGAGAGAGTCGAAGAATTATGATTACTTTGTATAATAATCGTTACTTCGAACTAGTCGTGAGTTTACACATTTAACGCCGATATAAAGATAATTATGATAATGATGATGATGATGTTGATGATGATGATGATGATGATGATGATGATGATGATGATGATGATGATGATGATGATGATGATAACGATAATAATGATGATAATGTAAATGCAGATGTATAATGATGATGGTGATAAAAGAATGAAAGTGTGAATGATTGGAAACGATATGGATGGTAAATACGAGGCGAGATATATAACGTTTGAAAGAAAATACAATTTACAAATTCAATATGATGAAGATGCTAAAACTAACAGTTTGTTGATGTGTAGATAATGTAGATAGTAAATGTAAATATATATATATATATATACACATACATACATATTATATATATACTATGATCGTGTTGCAATGATTGATTTTGACGGTATAGGTAGAGAGAACGCTTTACGGAACGCTGTGTAGCTCGTCATGTGCATAATGCAGACGTTTATTGAACCAAGAAACGTACATGCATATATATGTTATTATATGGATACACATGAAGATTAATACACAGATTACGGGAAGTATGCTCTCTCTGAACCGAATATAAATGATGATCCATGATCTGAGAAAAAAATGTAGTTTTAGAGAAAGAGATACCTCGAACTGATCTTATGATTAGGAGAGGAACGAGAAGTCGAATGAGAAGTCAATGATGTGCGGATTGACTTGAGTCAAGCGTATTTGCGATCTTGTCGTCAGTAAATTAGTAAATGTGCTTTCGAGTCACGAGTGACCACAACGAACACACATGCCTGTGCCTGCTTCGCTCTCTTTGTCTCCCTCCGCCAGTGTACTCGCGATCTGAAGCGAGTATCTCGAGCGTGAAAATCCATCTTACTACCAGCGTACGAATTCCCTGATGCAAACGATCAATCATTCTAGATAACACATCAGATGAAGAATCATCGCGTTCTACTCGCGTTACGATGCTCTTTTAGACCTAGTCCAACTTTGTACGACTGTATACACACAATCACATATTGTCCGAGCTTATAATCTCTATTGCACGAGCGTCGCCGGATTGAAAACAAATGTGTGTATCGCCCATTTCTATCCAGCACGTTTCGTCGATTTGCAAAGAGAAAGTGAGAATAAAATCTTGTACACGCGCAAAGTGAGTGATTCTCAAGCGTGAAAAAAGAAAAGAGAAAATGCGCAAAAATGTTTTATCAGTTTCGATATTGTGCGAGACCGAATGGAATTTTTCTAATATATTAAGTTCAAACATCGTGCTAAGTTGCAACCATTTGAGAAGGCCCACTTCGGCGCGTGCCAGTGACCCACGAACGTAACAACTTTGAACGAATCACATATTTTATACCACATAGACCTAATGACGACACCGCCATATATTTCTCTCCTTTTCCCCGTAATTACTCTAGACACAATTTCTACTCCACGACCACGCGTTGTATTGTTTCTATATATGATTACAGATCCTCGTAATCTTAATAAAGGCGTTCCTCTGCCAGTTGATTACTGATCAGCAGGGCCGCATACGATGACCAAGAGTGCATATTATACTAACGACAACATAACACACGCGAGCACAATAAAACACACGCAGAAAACTTTTGATCTACCTTTACCTATTTACCTCTTTCTCACGTGACACACGATCCTTCTCTGCCGATGTAACATCATCGGAGAACGACTGAACGTTCGAAAGACTGAACGGTCGATCCAAGATATCCTGGGAAAATGAGACTCAAGTGTTCGCGCACTGGTTACAAGACGCACTAAAAAAAGGAAAGAAAAAGAGTAAGAAGCGCGTGATCAAAACTGTCGACTAGGCAGAGTATAGTGTGACACTTAATGAGAATTTGAAACTGACACAGTTCCAATGAGTTTAATTTTCCACGTGATGCGAAACGGACGTGATGTAGACGTTGCAAGATAGACTTTGCTAAACCTCATAAACTTATCACGAGTGAACATAGAGTCCGTTTTCGGATGCATGTAGTATGAAATCTTAGCAAGATCCTAGTTTGTCGGGATTGTTTCTCGATCCCACGATGTCGACGAAGCACAAAGTATCAAGTCAACATGCAGCACTACCGGCTTTATTAGGGTAGTCTCGAATTTGTACATTCAATGCGACACATAGTAACACGTTGCGTACGATTAGCGTTGCTTAGAGCGTAAATTAGATTAGGCGTAATCATGTGATATTAAGTAAAAAAAAAAGGAAAAAAATAATTGCGCTCCTAGATGATTTATCGAATCGCTTCAACAGTACCACATGATTGCACATGCAACGTCGTCATATACACTACATACACATACATACAAACCACATTTCGAGATAGAGGTCTTTCCGTTTCCTTGATCCGCGAAGCGTGCGTGCGATAGCGGGAACATTGCTCGAGGAACAAACGGATTCGAAATCCACGATCAGAAATAATAGCATCATGTACGAGAAAGAGCGAAGTACGTGCATCCGACAGCAGGTGACGATAATGATAAGTCAAATGAAGGGAAAAGAAGTATTCATGACTCTCGCCTTAATGTGAACAAAAATCAAGATGTCAATGTGCACTGTAACGAAAATAAAACACTTAAGTATGTCTGGGAAACGAGCTTTATGTTGGTTCTTTATTTTTCTTCGTTTCGTCGTTTGCACTTCTTGTGTGTCTTTTGTTGTCGTTTAATTGTCATTCATATAAGAACATTATAACAATACAATTAAACGAAGAGGGTCATATTCGGTCAAGACAGATTTAGGCGCCTAATGATTAACCAAATTGAACTGAAAATGGTAAAATTCACACAAAAATATCATTTATAGGCACCAAGACCTGCCTTGACCGAATATAGTCTTTGCTTAATTGCGTTGAACATTTCTCAGTCAATTTTACTATTATTCATTATAACAATGTATGTGCGATCTTCCGGTTAGCCAACACCTCGAAGATGAGTTCGATAAATTTATATTATGTTTTAGCACCGTATCGTGAACTTTGCAAACCTGAGGTGATAAAGATATCTATAAGATTATTAGTTTACACGCCTAGGGAGGTATTACGGATAATGTTTGCTAATTAATAGTTACATCTCTATGCGTGATAGTATGCCAGTCTTCTTGCGCTTCACACACACGCACGCACGCACGCACGCACGCACGCACGCACGCACACACACACACACACACACACCAGTATCGTACATCGCCGTATGTTAATGCGAATGGCGCTCCTCGCTATCATCTGAGTGAGATTTGCTTTTCTTCTTCCACAAAGCGTCTTCTGTATCGAATATAGGAGTACACGGCAGATACAGATTATCTAGAATATTTCAAAGAAACACGCGGTACTGCCTCTGTAGAAGTAAACTAAAATGTATCCAGTGGCGGATTACTCATTAGACGTAATAAATGTTTCACAGTTTTACATAAATAATTGAAATTAATTATACAATTGATAGACTAATATTCGTGATATATATTTAAATATTAGATATTTAAATTGTTCCTGTAGTAAATAACATACATTTTTAAATAACACGTTGATTTTATACATATAACATGTTGGATAATTTTTGAATTCATTTGTTTAGAACAACGTTTTGAGAGCCTCGAAATGTTCCAATCCGCCACTGAACGTAAGAAATGGGACTAGAAAAAAAATATCCCAACTGTAACGAACGATTTCCTGTTGTATATATGTATGGACATTTCGTCCGGCGCACGTTTATAGGACTCCTGTGAAACTATTTCAAGAAATCGTTAAATTAACTATCATGATTATGCAATTTTCGGCACATTGTATTTTTCGATAACAGAAGATACAGCTCTTACATTAACAGCGTGACGAACTTAAGAGCCTGAAAGAAATGTCACCATCCAGTTTACGGATGTGTTTACAATGAACTGTTTACAATAAGCGTTATAAATATCTTGAAGTTGGAACACACACAACTAATATTGTTTTATTACTCGGAAGTAAAACGAAAAATTACTACACGTTCTAATACAGAACACTTGTGCTTCTCTATGTCCAAATCGCAGAACGTCAACGGTTGTGTTAATCTGAAGATTAAGGATATGCAGGGACACGCAGGGTGTTCCATTTCACTCCTGTCAATTCTTAACAATCAATTCTTATGAATGAAAAATCGATTTTTTTCTTGAAAATGATTACTGGATTATCGTGCAAATATACATTAAAAAATTCTTTGGATCGCATAACATGTATAAACAGATGACAAAAATCTTATTTTTCAGTCTGGATATATATTTTAATTTATAAGATATCAATCATATAATTTTTCCCCTTATGGCGGAAACGTGAAAAGTAAAAATTTTTATGTGTATATAATACATATTTATGTATTTATACATAAAAACTTTTACTTTTTACGTTTCCGTATATATATATATATATACGGAAACATATATACAAAAGTTTTTATGTGTATATATATATATATACACATATATATATATACACATAAAAACTTTTATTTTTCACGTTTTTACCCCAAGGGAAAAATTATATAATGCTACTCTGGGTATTTGGGGTGCATTCCGTTATTCACTACGAGTACTGAAAATTTATAGTTTACATTATGTATACTATAGATTTTCAGTACTTCCAGTGAATATAACGAAATACAGTCTTGATATCATAAAAAATGTAATCAATAAATCAAATTCATGATATTTTTATTATAAAAATATTATTGAATCTTTTTTACTTATACTTTCTTTTAAAAAATGAGATATTTTCATTGTATAGATGTTAGTTAAAAAGAGACAAAGGATTGTGTGAATATTAATAAGTTGGAATTGCAGGAATGATGGAACACTCTACATATATTATGCTCTAAATCTATAATTGAGTACATGTAGTCTGTGTATATAAAAATCCATAAATGAGAGTAGCGAGAGTTCACGCTGAAAATCGTACGCTCGGTACCGTTATAATATGTACCTGCGCATACACACGTAGTCGATATTAGCGATCGTTAGCGAACTGAATGTAAAAAAAAGAGAGAGATTCGAAAAGAAGAGAGACAAAAACTCAAGCAAGCAGCACAACAAGGAGACACATACTTTCGGTATACACAATTGTCAATTAGATTCAGACTGACTGCAGGGATTTGAACACGCATAAACAGTTCGATGTTCTTCGATGTTTAGCTAGATAAAGTTGTCGTCGTCGTCGTCGTCGTCCTCGTTAATGAGCACGTTATTGAGAACACGAATCGACGCATTTAACTCGGGCCAGTGGCGATAAATGTGAAGCGATTAGCGGCTAACGGGACCCATTTGACATAATGAAAAAAAATATTCTAATATATATACAGATATATATATTATCAGAAAGAGAGAGAGGGGGAGGGTAGGATATCAGAGTTCGTTTGAGGTAAGAGATGTTGATCTTAACTAAGGGAGTCATCGCACAAGCCACTTTGGTCTCGCTACGGAACCACACAATTAACACTGTGTATGCTACGTTATTGATGTGCAATCTATTCTACATTTACGCAGCTACCTGTAAACGGAAGAGATGTCCGTGTTCCTTGCCGTGAAATTCTGAATGTTTTCGACTGATGCTTTTGGGAAAAAAAATTTTTAATTGTGTTTGCTTTGCGCTGTCGTGTAAGCAGCTATCGCCAAAAATTAATTAAAGTTAACTGAGATCTAATTGATCCGCTGTCTCTTTCGCTCTTTCTCTCTTTTTCTCTGTCTTCGGAAAGAGGCAGAGCATTGGTTTGAATATCAGTTAACTTTGACTAATGTTTAGGGAAATGATCCCCTGTTGCATAAATGTTTGATCGGCTGTTAATGTAGACAGGTATCCGTAGAACTGTTCTTACATGATCAAGAAGTCATTTGGTTCAGTACGAAAATCTGGATAATTGATGTGTCGTTTGTAGCGATTTCTGTGTTGAAGAAAAAATCAATTCTAGTAATAGCTAGCTAGCGCAACGAAATTCTGTTGTAACCAGAGATATAGGCAGAGCAGAGATTTTATTGAACTCAATGGCAAGATGTTCCAATATGCGAGCATTTCGATGTAAGGAAATTTGCAGTACAACAATATTAACTCAGAGATTCGACGCGGGGCGTTGTAACGAGATCTCACTGTATGTTATGAAAGAGCGACATGCTCTCGGCGATTAGCAGCTATACTAAAAATAAATCCAGTTTGCGAAACAAAGGAAATCGGACGATATTGTAAATTTATGCGATATATCCGCTGGAAAACTATTGCGCCAATTGTACATATGTATTTCAATCTGATAGCATGTCTCCTACAGACAACAATAGTAATCCAAATAATTTGCGTCGAGTTGTAAAAAGAAAGAGTCCAGGCATTCCTTTCATCTGTCAATTGTTCCAGCAGAACGTATCAAACAATACACGTTCAAGACACTATCCATTACAAATGCTGGCGAAACTAAGAAAGCGGATGTATCTGGCAAAGGCAGTCTAGACTTCTTTGGTATGTTTTATTTAAATGAATTAAGCGCAGAAATAATAGCGATCTTTTTCTTTGTATCCCTATGGCGCCGAGAAAGTTCGCATAGAACCAGATTCAGGATAGATATTTATGATATAAAAAGAGACAAAAAAAAAGAAAAATGAAAAATATTCAACAAGTCTAATTATGTCAACCCTTTTATTTCCCATTTCCAACATCTCACAAAAAAAGTCGTCCTTGCTGATCTTTAAGATTGTAGAAATACTTGCTCTCTTACAGATAATTAATTATATTCTTAATGCTAATTGAATATATTTTAATGTGGTAAAATTTTACATAATTAAAAGTATCTCAATACATATAAAAACAGATGCTAAATGATACATATCAAATAAATTTTCAGTATTAACAAATGGTAAATATTATTTCACATTTATATACATCTTATTATTATTTATACAATATTAATTTCATAAATTATTAAACAATCTTATGTAAGTAAACAGATAAAAAGTTAATATCTTATCATTAATAGATATTATGCATTTTTATTTATTTTATTTGTAAATATCTTATGTAATTTAGATGTTATAACAATTCATATAATAGGATTAATATAATATATTTAATATCCACTATACGAAAGAAACAATAATAATAGCAATAAAAAGTATAAGTATCACTATCCAATAACCACACGTACGATCTTTGGAATTAATATTACGGACCTGTTGGGTCTTGTTAATCAAAGATTCATCAGTCCTATCCATATGATCAGCCAGATCATCAATTATTTCTACATTACAATATGATACAATTTTAAAAAGTTATTTTTATATTACATGATCTAAATATAATCTTTTTTTATACTACTCACCATTTTGGTGATCCACTTCGTTACTAATTGTTTGTCCAATTTCTTTTTGGCGAGCTATCACTTTACATAACTCCTCTAAGCCTTTATCTTGTTCTACAAGAAATTAGAATAATGCACAGTGTATTTATTAATATTTCTACAAGAAATTAGAATTATATACAATGTATTTATTAATTTCTTCTCTACGAATTATTATGTACCTATCAATACTCGTTCTTGGTGACTCATAAGATCATTAACAGATACTTGAACATTTAATGGCTTGTCATCATCATCGTCAGCAGCCCAAGAAGTTGTGCCTCCATCAGCGAAAGCTGATGAGCCTGCCCTTAATAAGCTAGTGCGCGACGACATATAATCATTTGTACGTGGCTCATATAATTTTTGTAATTGAATGTCTTTGCTTTGCAACTGTTCCACTTGCCTCGTCCGACGTTCAGCTTCCTCAAACGTTCTGTCACACAGATAGTATATTAAACAATTCATCATTTTAGAATTATTATTTTGAAGTCTAAACTAATGCTATAAAATATATAAACAGAAGAATACATTGTTTTTAATTTAGAAACTTCTTCCACTTTGCTTTTCAATTGCTGAACTTCCCGTGTGTATTGCTTCATACGCAATCTTATATTGGCTGACAAGCTGGCGTAAATTTTTGACGTCTTTGGTTCTCCATCACGCATAGTGAGCTGTTCCATAATTTCACGGAACAGTTTCTCACATGCGTCATATTCCGTAAGCCTAAGTGTATATAGTCAAGTCTTAATTAATCTTTTTGTAAATATATTATATAATTAAATTGCAGTAATTAATAACTATTAATGCAAATAAAAGCAGTAATTTTATTGCTTGAAATCTCATACATATAATAGATTATTGGATATGTAAATAAATGTTATAAAATATAATTTACAAATTTACCAAGGATCAATTCCTTCGATGTTGACAAGTGCCATTTTTGTGTTTGTTAATACAAATATATCTGTATTATTATTCCAAAGAATATAATCGTATCACAAATGTGTACTTCAACATCATTCGTTATGGAAATCATTAATTCCTTGGTAATTGAAACATTTCTGGTCACATCCTTTTTAGATAATCACAATCAATTGAAATAGTGATGGCAGTTTTTACATCATATGAGGATAACACAATACAGTTTTATAAATAAAATAAAACAAAGCAATGCAGACTTGTGTAATTGCTTTGATGTACAGATAACCTGAAAATTATGAATCAAATAGCTTTTATTCGACTAACCGATTCGACGTCATGTTGAGGTGGATAAATATCGATATTACTATCGATTGTTGTCGATAGTTTGACTTGGGCCAGCTATCGATGTTTCTTCTGCCTATCGATGGTTTACGATTTTTTTTAAATCAATCAAAAGATTCTCATTCAAAGTTTGAGCTTCAAGTTTTAGTGAAAATTGTCTAAAATATCATTTGAAAATATTATATATAGTCACTTCATTGGCTGGATACTGAGAGTATATGAAACTAGATGAATTAAATGCAAAAATATTTCTATTTTTATTTTGTATTGATTGCGGTCAATTAAGTTTCAATATCTATTTTTATACGTTCAAAACTGACACGTATAGAGAACAAAGTAATGTTCAATTTTTTTTATTTAGAAATGTGATAAATCGATTTATCTGTACAGCAGACGTTATTAATATTTTCAATTTCAAATTGGAGGTATTTATTCATAAAGTTTATATCGTTTTAAAATTTGTATATTACGATTATTAATAAAAACATGGAATTTAATAAAATTTTATTTTACAGCGTGTTATTTCATGTCTTTAATTGATTTTTTAAAACATTTTTAATCGACAAACATTTTTGCCTCGGACTCATGTAATCGCAGAATTTCTGTTTCTTTAATTGTTGGCGAATGTAGTATCTGCACTCTTCTGGGTGTTCTATTCCCCAAATGATGATATGGGACGGTCACTCTCTTATTGTTTATAAAACAGTAATTCAGTTGTTGCATAAATCGTTCAATAAGCGTGCAGTTTCTTTTACAGTACCGATTTTTTAGATGTGTGTCCCATGATTCTATAGCTTTTGACTCATGAATCTGAATGTCTGATATCTGCAAAGAGCGCACTGTGAATGCAAGAACCAAAAGAAACTAAAAAATTAACAAGTAATAAAAAATTAAGCCTTAGTATACACAATTTGGGTCATTCATGTGCTCTCCACGTTTCTTTTTTATTTTTTGAAATATTAGATTTAGAAATACTGAACTTGACTAAATAATAACAATCTCTTTTTTTTTAAATATACACAACTTGTAAATATTTTCTAAAGATGTTAAAATATATATGTTAAAAATTACTTAATAATCTTTATATGTACTTACAAAGGTAATGAAAATTAACTTGGAACACAAACAACCCATCGTGTGTAGTGCAAGATCAGGAAATTGTGTGCATTAAGGGTTAAACATTAATTAGCCAATAAGTCGGAAAAAATAAAAAAAAGAAAATAATAACAGAATATATCCATTTACTTGAGTTCACATTTTCATTCCTGGATAACTGTACATTGGATCTCTCGCTAGTTGCACGTTGAGTTTTATCTCTAGCTGTAGTTTCGCTCTTTAATCTCTTTTTAATTGCTTCTTGTGGATCCCTAACCATTCGATTTGCGATACTGCTCCTTATCGGCATCGTCGAATTTGCTACAGATGTTGAGACCGAAGAATTTCTCACGTGTGAGCTGGTGACATTGTTGCTGCTTCTCAATAGATTTTTGAAAACATTTGTTTCCCTTGTTCTGCTCTGAGATCCTTCTGTATTTTTCAGATTTATCGTCGAATGTCGATTGCTGCTCGACGATTTGCTGTTGAGGTTCAATCGCGCGGCTGACTTTTGCACGCGTTCATTTTTCGGAGTCGATGTAAAGTTCGAAATTACGGGGAACGTGAAGAGGGATGGGAAACGATTCGACGCGGATGAATCGCGAGATACATTTTGCAAGTGTCTGGACGAATTACTCGTAACACGTGGTACTAAATGCCGAAGTTCTGTCTGCAGCTTCTCGATCTCGTCGAGGCGCACCAGGATATCATCGTCGGCCATCTCAGGATTTTTATAACGCGATTACATCATAAATTTATTATTTTCTTCCTTTGTTACATTTTAATTTTTCTGAAAATTAGTTACCTCAAAATTGAGTGAACGCGCAATCTTCAACGTGAAGATCGTTCATATTTTGACATTTAACGTCGATGCGACGTTATTATACAAACAGTGCATCGTTGACTGGTGTTAATTAAAAAAATAATTATCCTTCCAGTGGTTAGGAGAGAAATAAATTCTGATAGATAATAAAATTACTTAATTAATATTAAGAATAATTTTTGTAAAATAACATATGAATTTTTATTATTATTATGCATATAAAATATTATTTATTACTGTACTAATAACTAAAGTACTAAATAATATCAGAGTTGATTTCCTTTTCATAATTAGCAGTTTAAAAGTAGCTGATGGATATACATATTGCGGACACAAATAACGAACTAACTTCTAACTCGTATCACTATTCATCTGAGAATGCAGAAATTAATATTGATAATATCATCGCTGCTGTAACCCAACTAAATACCAGAATCTTTCGATTACGAGAAGAAATCATCGCATTTAAAAATGGAAACATAATTCATTCAGCTGTAACGAATAATTTAACAAGGTATAATTAGTGAGAAATTAAGATATTTTTACAATTTTTGTAAATAAATAGACGTAAATGCATTTTTATTACTTAGAATATATTGTAAATATTGGATATATACGAAAAGAACGGTTTTACTGAAATATTAAAAAATTTAACTAAATCTGAAAATACTTTCGTTAAATCATCAAAATAATTACGTAGAACGCTTAAACATTGATAACAATAATGCTGCAAAAAGTTTTGACATTTTAGTAATCAGTTTATGTGTCTTATCTAATTAATAATTTAAACATTAATTATTTTCAGATCTGCATTTATTTGTTGCTATTATTATAGTTACCTTTTTAGATAATTTAGCAAAACCATTTTTTCCATGAATAAATATGGAATCGACTTTTCTTTAATGCAATCAAATTCGTTAAAAAATTAATCCTTAAATTATTCTTCGCTGGTTTTGCCATTAAAATATGGTCTACCTTCTAAACTGTGAAATTTATATTCAAAATAATAAGAGCAAATTGACTTGCAACTTATATATTTTTATTACCGATTAATACTTCACGCATGAAAACATTTTGATGTTCCAGTTTAACACCAGCAGGATTTAATCATTCGACGAAAAAGGGAGAAAATCGAACGGATGCACGGTACGAGCCGCGAAGAAATTTTAAGAGGGACGATTCGCCAGGCGGCACTGATTTATCCGCTCGTTTATCATTCGCGAAACGTGCACGGGAAGTAAAAGCGGCGAACGAGGCGGCCGTATTTAAAGAGGATTACCCGCGTGACGATAAATCAATCGAAGATGATGAACGGCCAAATAGATCGCGCGTGTCTGAACCGTCGGGAACGTATCGAAAGTCCATTTCGGACGCCGAAAAATCGGGGAAAGAAACCGATGAGAGACCGGGAGATGCAAGAGACACTGGGGACGCGAGAACTTCACGTGTTGCAAATGAGAAGCTGAGGAAGCTTAACGAGAAACGAAACGAGGTCGTTAACGAGACGGGCTGTAGTCCTGCGAATGTTTTTACACCCAAAATTAAGAGAAAAAGAATTTCTAGAGGCGTACAATGCGTTTCAATCGGATATCGTAATCATGTAGGTCGATTTTTTCTCAACTGCTTTAAATTGAAATCGAAAAGACACAGTTTGAGGCGAAAAGCAAAGAGGAAAAAAGCTTCGGCGAATAAATTTGATGTTGAACCACGAATTGAAGTGAATAGATTGCCAGGTGCGACAACAATAAGCAACGAATCTCATAACGTGACGAAAGAAAAAGTAAGTGATATAAATGCAAAGAAAGACGAGTTTGAGAAGATGAATGAGAAGAAAATAGAAACAACCACTTATGGAAATGATAATGGATTATTCGTACAAATGCAAAATATGCATGACGAAAAACCGAAAAATGATTTGAAGTATCGCAAAGTGAAAATAAATCTTCTTGAAAAGTTGCGGCTGAGAAGAGCTTTAATACATAAAAATGATTCAAAAGCGCAACAAAACGAATTACGACATGAATCTCGAAATCATAAAGAAGAAATTGTCAAACTTAGTTCCGAAAATAAAAAAGTGAACTGCGCTCGTAAACGCAAAGACAACTCACAAAGTGTAAAAATCGATTGCGAAATGGATTCGAGTAATAGATGGAAAACCATTATAACTGCTGATGGAGAAAGTGATATAAATAAAATCAAAGAAAGATTGGATTCATGTATTGCCGAATTAAACGGAATAATTGGGGACGTTTGTGAGATATTTGGCAATAAGAAAGAAGTAGCAAAGAATTTCTAAAGGTATTTTAACTCGTCAAGTTATTTGTATCGTTTTTGCGGTAATAAATTAAAATATGGATAGGATATATTTTTTTTTTTTTATAATAAACTTTATTAATTTTATATCCCAGACAGCACACAATATTTACAAAATATTTAGAAATATTTATAAGATTTATTTTAAATATTTTGTAAATATTTTTGTGGTTTTAGATTGCACAGATCATAAATATTTATTATAAATATTATGAAATACTTATTAGAATATAGTTATAGTAAATACAATAAAAATACTTAATGAGACATTATAATTCAAATAAAAAATATTTATTAGAAATATTTATTTATATTTACCATAAATATTGCATAAAATACTTAGTCTATATATTTTAATAATATTTCGAATAAAGCTTTATGTAAAATATATATAAAATATCTATATAACATTTCAAAAAATGAATATTAATAAATATTTATCATAAATATTTCTGTACTGACTGGGACCTACATTTTAATTCATCAATTAAAAAGAAATATTGTAACTCTAGTGTTAGTTGTAGAAATACTGCAACTCTATCGATTGAGCTAATTGTTGACTAAATTAAAGTGACTAAATTAAACTAAAGTCTTAATTAATGCATTGTCTACAACACATGGAGTAAGAAGAGTAAAAAATTGACCAATCACAATCGATTATTCTTCTCATAATCGACTGTGATTGGCCAATTTCTTATCCTTACTTCTTACTCCGTGTATGTAGAGACACATGCCTGCATCTAAAATAGCAGACGACGTACCATACACACATATCACAAACGTGGTGAGTAAATGGAGTGAATTTTTAAAACGGTATTCTTTCTGCGAATATGCGCGTTGTTTTTCGCGAAACTTACGGGAACGAGAAAGAGATAGTTTATTTGAAACCAAACGGTAAGGCATTCGTGATGTACTTGATAATAATCGATCAAATCATCCTCTACATATCATAGCAGCCACATCTTGACTCCGTATTGATTTGTTGACAGTTGACACCTGTTGGCCAGATGGTTTCAGCACAAGTGAAAGAAAATTCGGTCTCACCGAATCACAAACAGTTCATTCTCGGATTACGTCTGTCTTCAAACAGATATTTTTGCCACAAGGATATCCGGACAGTGTGCATCCTGACTACACGGCGTATCAGATATGGGACACGGTGCAGGTTAGCTTAAATCTCCAAGTAAACGTATTTGATATATGTTTGGTTGATACGCTACAATTATGTTATTATAATACAGTATTATTATAATATATTATAATGTAAGATTTTTCTTATTCTATTTTGCATTGATAAAGTGATTTATGAAGAAAAAAATTAATATTTTACAGGCTTTTGCGAGTACTATAACAGGTACGCTGACGACTCATTCTATAATGAAAGGGATAGGAGTTGGAGAGTCAAATGCTACACCTTTGGCAGCAGCAATAACGTGGATCTTGAAAAGTGGCACTGGGATGATTGGGAGTATAACGTTTGCATGGTGGAATGGGTAAAGAATAGACAACAACGGATATTCTCTAAAAATATTTGTTACGCAATGCTTAACAAACTACTTGTACTTTTGTTAAGTAATGCTAAACAAGGTTTTGCTTCTTTCTATTATAGAACTAAATTAGATGGACAATGTAAAAAATGGAGGCTATTTGCTGATATTTTGGATGATATAGCCAAAGGAATAGAATTACTTGTACCATATTTCTCCTCATATTCTGTTATAATTTTGTGTATTTCGACCACTATGAAGTCCATTGTCGGTGTTGCTGGTGGGGCTACGAGAACAGCATTGATTCATCATCAGGTATAATTATTCGTATAGATATATATATTAGCTTTGTGCTAAGATCACTTTCTTGTCATAGGCGATACAAAATAATGTGGCAGATGTCTCTGCAAAAGATGGAAGTCAAGAGACTTGTGTAAATCTAATCGCATCATTCCTTGGAATCTTTATATTATCTTTATTTCACGATGGACAGTATGTATTTAGTATACTTATCGTATCTGATTACTATTACGAATTCTTTTAATAATGATGAAGTGATATATATATTTATATATAGATATGTATTAGAACTGTATCTCTTCCTGGTAGCAGTCCATCTCTATGCAAATTATTCGGCGGTTAAAGCGTTATGTTTAGATACACTCAATGAAGATCGTCTGGCTATAATTGTTAAAAAATACATGATGAACGAGCAGATTACTGAGCCATGGAAAGTAAATAAGGAAGAATCAGTATTTCTACTAAAAAATCCTAGTAAGATATTAAAATTATTTGATCATTTGTTTTTTCACTGTATATAAGAAAAAAAATTTCTAACAGTTTATGGATATTATTTTTAGCCAGAAACATACACGGTTTTGATATAAAAATTGGTGTATCATTCGCAAATATTTTGAAAAAAAATATAATTTCACTCACAGAAATGGAATTTTTATTAAAATTCTTTGAAAATAAGAAGTATATAATAATGATAGATATTGAAAAAAGGAATATATTTGTAATTCTCAAAAAAGATATACAGTCTATCGAAATATTGGAAGCATACTTTTATGCTTCCATGTGTGCTTTCTACCTTTGTATAGCAAGAAAAATACCAATAGTAAGAAATCAAAGCTCTTTTTATATTTTTTGTTACTTATGCATATTTTATTGTAATTATATTGTGATATCACACAGGATATGCTATTGAAGTCTGAAACATCCGAAATATCATATTCATTGCTGAATATATATGTCCTGCAAAGGATACATACTGTTTCACATTGGGACATGTCAATAACTTTACAAAGTGTCAGTGCTACAGATGTAACTGTCTCTAATGAGTATAAAACATTCCTAAACAATCTAAAAATAAATGGTATGTAATAATTTCATTAAATAAATAATGATTTAACATTAAGTACAACTATAAGTATCTACTAATAATTCTAGGATGGAAAACGGAAACAAATCTATTAGCAATTGGAGCATGGAGATTTTCCATGGATAATAATGGCTAATTATTAGACAATTATTTGAATCATATTAAAAATAAATTGTTGAGAGAGAGAGAGAGAGAGAGGAAAGAAAAACAATTATTCTTATAATTCATTATTCTTTAATATTAAAATAATTTACTACTTAGTAATCAAAAAATAAAAATAATATATGAGAATAAAGCCACTTTGGAAAATAGATAAGGAAATAATTTTATTTCCAACAATTTATAAAAATATAACACGCCTGTCATACTGTACAAAATATTATGGTCTTGGACTATGATTCCTCCTCCGTTCTAGGTCCAGTCTGTGATAAATGTTTTACTATATCTACCCAGTTCCATCCTCGCTGTCTTTCACCTTTGCCATCTGCTTTGTTCCACTGTCTACGCTTCTGGGCTTTACTTAAATGTTCCTTCTTCGGTTTCTTTATCGTTTCCTCGACCTTAGGAGTATTAAGATATCATTTTGTTTGCAACAATTTCTAGTAATAATAAATCATATAATGGAATGGATATACCTGTTGGTTCTCTTCCGTAGTTTTCAGCTTACTAGTATGTAAATTTATATCGGCAACTGAGTCGGGTTGCATGCACACTAAGTCTGCATAATGTTCTTGGACAGATTGAAATAATGTATATGTCATAGCGCTACCTAACCACTGCTCAGCCTCTGCCTCTACGTGATTCATCACCTTGTCCTTGACCTCTTGTAAACTATATTCCAATTATTCGTCTTTGACCAAAGTAATCAAATGAGCAAAAATAGTTGAATGATTGCTTGGCTGCACTTACATATGTTTATTGTAAAATGTATTCATATTGATAGTCGGTTTCTCTGTAGGATATGTTGCACCCCATGAGATTTCCAATAGAAATGACTTCATATCATTATCTTCTCCATACTACATAAAAAAAATCACTGACTAATATATATAATTTATTTCAATTCCAAATTTGCCTGACATGCAATTAAGAAACACTTATAAAGTAGTGCAGTATAGCAAACTACTTTTTAATTCCATTTTATGATTAAAATTAAGAGAGTATTAATTTTTTCTTTTATAATTATGAAATGGAACAAATGTTATATATTTAAATGATACCTTGAAGAGATACAAAGAAAAAATTTTGAATACTACTTAATGAATGAAGTATACTTTTGTGTCAAAATAGAGTTATTTAATACAAATATTCTTTGTATTGTACATTACAATTTACGCTGAATTATTTCACATAAAAGTGCTCAATTCTGACAAAGTTACAAAAGAAAGCTACAAAATAAAAGATATTCTTGCACCTTGTATTGAAATATCGTGGGTGTCAGCTGTTTAAAAGCCGGATCGCCCTCGTATATCGAGAGTAATACTTCTCTTTCCTCCTCTTGAAGCTCAGCATCGCTCATCTCCCTTTCCTGGACTAGATTCCGAACGATCGCACCACGCTCAAGTGCCACTGCGTGAATTTTTAGGTTAGAAAATTATTACATCCTTCACAACTATAGACGTAATAAGTACTAATTACGTCCAATTGTCTACGTTTGAAAATCTGAATAAACAATGACACTTGACCAGATTATACATACATATATACTAAAAAGAGATAAAGATGCCACCTCTCTTTGCCATTTCACGACACTAGCGCTAATATTGGGAGATCGTAGGACGAATGAATTACATCCTTAGAACAGAGCATGCGTAAATCGTACACGTCATCAACCACGTGACTGATCTCGATATAAATTATATGTGTATATTTTTTATTATCATATTTTCTCATATTGATAACATTTAAAATATATTAAATATTATATGTTGTACATATATATAATATTATAATTATTACAATATATATCTATATAAAATTTTTAGAAACAATAATAAATTTTGTATCATATATGGTAGAATTATATAAAGATAAACAGTAGTTTTGTTTTCTTACAGGATAGCTACTAATAAAGTAAAAGACTCTCTGATTTTAGAGTGATTCCTCATTCAAATTCAAGACAAAAATTTTATATGACCAGTATATATTCGAAACGGATTTAGAGTGTGAAATTAGGGTATGAAATTTCCTTCCTAAAACGAAGGAAATTTGGTTTTTTTTTAAATCTTTTAGTTACTTATAGTAGCCACTCTAATATATATGTTATATTATAGATTCAAATATATTCGTTAGTTTTCTAAATGTTATTTCACCAATCTCAAAAATCTTTCAAATCTCAAAAATTGGATCAATATAAAAACGAATCTCTTGAATTTTTAACAACTTGAATTTGTTTAACACGTTTGTCAAGGAATTGAATCGATCTCGGACAGTTTCCTCGCATTAAAATATTATACTCATTAATACATAATTTTATTTCAGAAGTTTAAAGTGTGCGAGATATTCCAGTTGTCATAATTAAAAAGCATTCCATCCATATTTCTAAATAATTAACAGAAAAGATGTTATAAGTGTTTTTGTAAAATTATTCAAAAATTACTCTAATAAAATAATTGGAACTTGCATTCAGTACTTTTAGATATTCATTTGCCTTTTTTAAAAATAAGTATATACAATAATAAAATATGACTGACTGTGCATACTGACTCTATAACATATCGCAACTTATATAATATTACGTATTATTTTTGATGAGAAATAATATTCACTTGTACTATCATGACATTGCTCGAAAAATAAGAAGAAAAAGAAATTTTAGGTGGAAAAAGAGATCTAGAAAATTGCGGGAAGTTACCTTAGAATTTTGTTATAATGTTATAATGTTTATCTCGTCGTTTTCAGAGAAAAAAGAGAATCATACTTCATCAATTTTTTGTGCTCGTCTGCACCTTTTCCCAGGGGTATAACGCTTGAAGAAGCGGATCGATTCCCAACTTAATATAATTGCGTACGAAAAGTACAAATACACGTCCGGTGCAAAAGGGCAATTTGCGACACCTACTTTTTTTCTTCGCTGACGAAATGATAGAAATTTCTCGTACAAGATAATAATGGGAGTGGAGAGGGAGGAGATAATTTGTCGTTTATGTTTTTCCGTATCTCAGGTATTTTTTCAATTGTCGTCGAATCACCAGAATAGATGGAGTTCTCTCTCCTCTCTCTCTCTCTCTCTCTCTCTCTCTCTCTCTCTCTCTCTCTCTATCTATCTATCTATCTATCTATCTATCTCTCTGTAGATCAACATTATAAAGTGAATCGTTTAGTGTTGTCCGTATACGGACTATGGCCTTATCAGAGCTGAACGATGAACACCTGGATTAAGCGAGTATTCATACAATTTTTATTATTATTTTGTCTTTATTCTCTCAGGTAAATCATACTAAAGTAAATCTTATCAATTTTGTTTCCATTTCTAATTATTTTTTATACATATAATAGGTATATTTACTATGCATTATAGAATTTCTACGTCATTATAGAATTAATTTCTTTCTTTCTTGATAACATTAACAATGAGAAATGTAAAAATGTTTCTCAGTATTCTTATATTTCCAAGACGATCTTTAAATAAAATTTATTAAAATAAAATGTATTTATATATATATCTTTTGTAAAGTTTAACTCATATTATTAGATTATTAATTAAAATAGATTAATTAAAATTTTAGAAATTAAAATATAAATTAAATAGGTCTTTATTTTCTATAATGACTTTATAAGGTAAAGGATAGTTTCGAATGAAAGATATTGTTCTAGGCAGCTAGAATTTGCAGACAGAATTAACGGCAGATTTTATATTTGATTGTCTACCTATTATCAGTTCTGTTATTGGTGCAACAGTATAATTCCTGAATCGTATAATAATCAACGACAAAGTAAGAAATATATAGTAATTTCTGTGTACTTGGTCAAAATATACAATACTAAAAAAAAATTATAATTATTTTTGTACTATTTGTGAATGGAATGACCAGAATTTGCAGCTGAAGAATTTATTTGATCGAATTAAAATCGATTGTGAGAATGCGAGATCTCAAAATGAGATTGAAATTATGCAAGCAAACATCATGAGCACAAGAACAATGACAAAATTGTTTTTGAGTAAATGAAATCTTGGTTTCATTATCGGGTTTCACAAATCGGGAAAATTTATACTTTATATCTATCGTTGTAATAATTACGTCATATAAGATAACCGACCCTATACATGCCCTTACTAAGAGTTTTTTTCTAATTTTTTGTTGAGTCCAAAATTGGAAATTAGTGGTCATATTTAAAAGAAGAAACATTTTTGAACGTTAATAAAAATATAAAACATTTTTTAATATTTATATAAATGTAAAGATTAAAAAGAATAGCGTTCCACACATTCATATGTATCCAATATGACCTAAATATATATTTCCCTCTTTTACATAGAAAAATTTCAAACAAAGTGATCTAATATTATTTTTGTAAGATGGTAAAATTAACATATTGACATGTTTATTTAACATATAAGAATACACAAAAAATTATTTTCCAAACAATGGACTTATCTACTTTTATATTTATCTACTTATTTCTATAATATTTAGTAGATGAATTAGAATCCATAGAATTATTAGAATAACGAAGATCACAAGTAGATAGCGCAATGTATTTTATTAAGTTTTAATACAATTTTAAATTACACTTTACTATGTCTTGTATTTTCGATGGACCACAACATGATTTCGACATAACTTTTATTATGGTAATACTAATTTTTATCACATAAATAAAGTAATTTTTGTTAAAAGCCAGTGCTTAAGCCATATTCTAACATGAAAACAGTTAATTTTTACTATAGTACTCAAACAAAATTTGCTAGGTATATATTTTTTATTTATCTTTAATACTAACTTTTATTCAACAAGTTTTGATTTTGTAATAAAAAATTTTTACTATGAAACAGTGTAAAAATTATGTTGCATTATTGTTTTTAAAAAAATATCTATATTATTTAAACTTATAATTGTCATGATAGTCCGCAGCTTCTACAACATTATAGTAATTTTAAATATAAAATTTTCTCCGTGTACCACATGGCTTGTCGAATCACGTATGTGCAGGGCAACAAGTGTATATGTATGTATGCAATTTTTTTCCACATTATATGTTACAGATGACGGATTTCTTCTGCAGAACAGTATTGCATTTATTTTATTCTGATCATTCATCACCAGATAATAATTGTTTAGTTTCAGCAACTTCCCGATTTACCCCGTATATACGATAAACGCAGCGTGCATGTGTATACACTTTTAGCTACGCGAACATAGAATGATAAATCGTTTCTTTCAGGTACGTTTTACGTCAAATAAATATATGATACCGCAAGTACCAATCTTTTTTAGCGAAACGTATTATTAATTTGCGAACGTTTTTTATAATCTAAGGTTTGTGGACATTGTTTAATCATGTTACAGTTTGAGCATCTTCGTTGAATCGTTATCTACAATGATCGTAATGGGCTTCACTATGGTACAAGCGAATGTTCCTTATCGAATATCTGAATTAATTAATGTATAACTGTCGAGCAAAATTAATAAATAAGATTAAGCCGCGATGAGAATTTCAATTTCAAACAATTAGCACAGCTATTACTGTTTAGATAATTAAATTCTCCGGATCGTCGGATCAGTTAGCTAGATCCTTTGATTATACTATTGGACAAATGATTTACATGTTTATGTACAATTATATGGGTCAGCAATTAATTAACAAGAACACACAGCTGTGCATGAAGATGTAAGTGTCAGCACACGTACAAACACACGCACACATACACACACATATATATGTGAGTATGTATATTACGTTAATCGTACATACACATTAATATATAATTTTTTATTAAGAGAACAGTAATTTTTTCTCTTTTTGACGTGAAATTTTAATCATTGAAAATTTGAACAGATTTTGAGATCGACATAAACTTTTAGATATTATGCAAAATGGTATAATATATCTGTGTGGAAACAAAAAATGATGCTACTTATTATATTGAGATGCATGCGTACAATTACCATTAATGTTTACAATATCTACATTCTGAGCTTAGAAAATTTTTCGACGGTAAGCGAAAATGATACAGATAAAAAAACCATGAATTTCTCTTCTTCGTCATGACCCACGATGCAAATTCTGTTTCAAGATCGTGCTTTCAGCCGCGTCAATTTGTATGCTGCTGAGACGCTTGTGTGTGTAAAAAACTATTTTATAAATGATTTAAGAGATAGTGTTGTGTGTGTTTTTTGTTGTAAATGTGTATGTGTATTGTATTTTACGAAATTATCGTACAATATATTTTTCTTGAGTCTCAAATATCGTACTAATATCATACTATTTCCATCCTACACCCGCATACATATATATACGAAGATAACTGTCGATATGCAAGAGCTGTTCTTTTTCTCTTATAATAATTATATACAATTTCGTGTACGGAGATCGCCGGTAAAATGTTTCTTCGTACATCTTTATTTCTAACAATTGTAATAGATCAATAGTAAAATTATATTATTGCACGTTTCTCCTAGCAATAAAAAATTCTTCGGATGTAGAGGAAAGACTCCTATTATGAGATACCGAGTTTATTTTGGGTA